GAGTGGAATAAGAAAGATCATACATATTCAGAATAAAAAATAGTCTTGCTAGCTAAAATTACTGGACTGATTCTGTAACCAGCACAGTATGAGCAAATCTTGCTCGTAAGAATCTGCTAGAATTAGCAGCATGGACTCTCCTATGTGTCAAGCTGTTTTGCATGATGTATTTAGAAGTCTGAAATCAGCCAGAGATAGTCAGCAGAAAATCCAGTACAAGGAATCTTTTAGCAAAATGCTTACAGAGACAATGCTGTCAATTGCAAAATACCCTCCTGTTTATCCACATGAAAAAGGGGGGAAAGGCAGGGCTTAGCAAAGGTCTTCTGTACTTAGTCTTTAATTGATGTGCTGTGGCTTGAAAGAACTAGTCTCCACTCTAGTGAAATAGGTTACCGATGCTGCTAGGGATTATTTTAATATTTACATTTTCCCCTTACACTGACTACTGATCTTCTGATGCTCAAGTGTCACATTCCATATTTTGTCACTAGAAGCATAGGATTTTTCTTACTTAAACTAAAATTATGACAGCATAGGACACAGAGTAGCACAAGCCAGAAAGAGATAAATTTTACAATAATACAGACTCCTTCAGCTCTCAAGGTACATAACAGAATGGATATCATCTCTCAAATTTCACAAGAATAATTCCAAAGACAGATTTTACCCTCCGATTTTGAAATATCTTCCCTGGAAACTTGCATTTAAGCAACAAGTGGACACATGCAAGTTTCTAAATTGTTTAATATCAAACTAAACATGGAACCTCTTTCTTTCTTAACTTCTCAAAATTAAACATCAATTCTTCAATAAGATAACATAGCAACAAGTAAGGTACTTGTTGTACCTTAGTACTCTAAGACAGTTCTTCAATTTAACTTTTGTATAGATCCCCCAAAACAATGTATTTTTTTCTAATTCTCTAGCTTCAAAGGCATATCTGTTTTCCAAATATTTTTTTTTTAGGAAATGAATGGAGGCCAGGATAAATAAGAACATGAAAGCGCCCCATTATGCCATGGAGCTCATGAACAACAGACTCATGAAAAACACATAATCAACAGCATAATACTGTTAACTTCTTAAGATTCAATTAGTTGTTTATATTTAATAAAGTTTTACAAATCCTTACCTCACACCATTCTGTCCTTGCATCAAGGTTGTTGCTAATCTTCCTGAAAAAGGCCTTAACATTATGATCCTTGACTTCTGGACCAAAAAGTGTCCGTGTCATTGTATAGAATTTATCATAGTCTATCACATCTGTAGGGAGGAACAATATCCAGAGTTAAAAACTGGCAAGGTAAAGCTTCCTTCCTTACCCCCACTACCTCCTCTTTTATTTCTCCTTCAATAGCATGCAAGTTCCAGTTCCTCACACTGTATTCACTAAAGCATTGAGGGGGGGAGAGGAGAGGAAAGTTCAGTGTCAATGTTCAGTCTTTTCAAAACCACCTGATTTGCAATACATGTCAGGAAACAGATAGATAAAAGAATAGATGAAAATCTCTCACCTCTTCTTTCTTCCCTTACTCTTATATCACAATTCTGTTTGTTGATCTGAACCTGAATGGTGTCCTGGGGTAAAGTTTATCCTTTTATGCAACAATAGCCACTTGCATTGAGAAAAGCAAAACTTTGCTCTGATTATTTACAATTAAGCAACTGGATTTACATAATTCATTGGATTTATGCTTTTACAGATCACTAGAAACATCACATTGTTCTAACTTGTATATGTGTCGACTCCGTCAATTATATTTTGTGAGCAGTCACGATAGCATTATAATTTAACCAGAAGTCCTAACAGAAGGAGAAAAACACTCTCATAGCACAATCTGCCTGTTTCCTGTAAAAATCAATAAGTTACAGTCTGAACATTAATTTGGTCTTTCTTACAGTCTTGTCTCTATGGCACCTCCTCTCCATATGAAAATTACATGTTTCCCTCAGAAAGAGTATATCTTACCATCATCTTCAATATACAAGCCTAATCTCTCCTTTGTCTTCTGGGTTACCGTTTTTTCAACTAGTTTCTGGAACTGCTTCAAAACATTCTTGAAATCTGGCACTTCAAGAGCAAAGTAACTCTCCTTATCACAATCCTTCTTTGCAGACATCCTTTATTAACAGAGAACAAGGTAAGAGGGAGCGCTCTTACAGCATGGTCCAAGCCTTGTTTTGCCCCTTAAATCTTAAACTCTCACATGAGTTCATACGAGATGCAGCTGCATGACAGGTATACCAAGCACTACATAATAAAAAAGAGGTGACTGGCTTAGCATCTCAAGCTGGCAACCATACTAGTGAACTGTTGATATCACAACCTCTCATTACATCACAGAATCCTACTTGCTGAGCAACTCTAGGTCACGAACTAGGATCATTAATAACCTGGCATGTGAAATGATTTCATGGTATCTCATGCAATTGGTGGTTGAACAGGCATGAACTTTTTCACTTCCAGAGTCAGACAAGGATTTAATCAGGGTTCCATTCTGCTACAGCTGGCACTGCTTTAGCGATATGAGATCCCATTCTCCAGTAAGAATACACCTTTGAGACTGGCTGGTGCAAGCTTATCATATCTTTCAGACTTTTGTACTGAGTGTGGAGCAAGGAAGATTATACCAGTTATCTCTATGTTTCATATTGTCTTCTTACTCTTCAGATTATTTTCAAGTTTTCTGCCAAAAGCTGCACACCAACTAACACAGTTAGGAATGGCTGCAATTATGGATTTCCTCGGAATCCCTTGGAATCTGGTGAAGAATGACAGAGCCAGTTCAGTTCTCTGTTTATATTTGCTCTGTGACAGGAGAACTGAGACCAGCCTGATGATATTCTAACATGTGCTACTGCTGCAAGGCTCAGCCAGGGATCTCAATCTAGGTGGGGATGCCTGGTTTTACTGTACTAATAAGAACATTTTACCAGGGTTGTTAAGTTATGAATCATTATTCGTGTAGTACAACAAGGCCAAAGACATCCAATTCAAAATGAAAAGAACTAGAAAAGCACTTTTTGACAGTTAGTTCTTGAGAGTAACACTGAATAATTGCTTCCTTAGTAAATCCCTCTCCATTTCTTGAATGTTGTCTTGTTGTCTCTTTATTGCATTAAAAATCCTTACTCAGTGAACTAGAACTTCAACCTAGAAACCCAATTACTGTACAGAAACATTTATTTTTATTGCATAAATCATTATGATTGAGATTGCAAGAAATCCAATGATAGAGTGGCAGAGTTTTAGCTATTTTCAGCTATCCAGTTGCCTCTCCCTTAAGCTCTTTACAGCCATTCAAACTTTACTTGTCTTACTTAACTGCCAGTCAAGTTGCAATTTTTTTCTTTCTCCTAACATGCAACTAATGATCCCAGAAACTGAGTGTTGGCTAGTAATATGTGTCTGGTCAAAGCTCAGCTATATGTCTTAAATGGTTACTGTTTTGAAAAGGGTCTACATTTAACTTGCACCTAAGTTCAGTCAGGATCTTAAAATAAGAACACTTCTACACCAAGGTACCCCAAGGACCTTTCTGGGTTTTGTTTTTGGGCCATTCTTAAACAAAAGCAGGACTGGGCTATTCAGAAAGCAAAATGGCAGCTACCACTTTCTTTTGAAAGTGGCAGCCTAGAGCACGCACTGACTAATCAAAATTGTTTGATATGCTACCCAACGTCTTCAAATTAGACAGAATTTTTGCCCTGCAACAGCACCAGTCTCTGTGTTTTATCTGTGTTGTCTTTCTACCCTGCCACATCTTAAATTCTTTATTGAATAGTGGGACCCTAGGGTATCTTAATGGAGTGGTGGAAAATTTAATTTATTTTTTTCTCCAACTGAAAGAGAATTAAATCCAAACTATCCCCTGAATGAGTAACAAAGTGACTGCTGAAGAAAGGGCAAGTTTCAGTTCTTGTGGGAATATTCTAAAGAATCCAGCTTCATTCACTCTTTGTAAAGGAATGATATAAAAAGCTGTCTTCAAAGAATGGTTCAGTGCAGTGATTTTTAAGAAAAAGGAAAAAAATTCCTGAAAAACAAGGAGCTTGAAAAAGGAGTTCTACAATTTGCACCAGTGATCATTAGTAGTCTTCTATTGACTAAATACTCAAAGTTTAAAGAAAAAGGCTCCAGGTATCGGTAATTAATATGTTAATTTGGATCATGTTATGATCACTGATTCTCTACATACGGAAATCAGTTATCTTGCTCAGGGTTCTGGATTTTATGCTACACCTCAGATGACCAGCATTCAGCTCCTACAGCCCTTTACTGAATCTGACCCTTTATGCTTGTTAACATTTGCAAATTATAAAGGCTTACCTTTTTTTTACACTGCCATGTGAGGCAGTGTATTCTTCTGTGAAGTGAGAAGCACTGTTTTCTTGTTGTGGCTCTGCCATTTCTTTCTTGGTAGCCTTGTCAGACTGCTAAAATCTACCTGTAAAACAGGAACAACATCCCAACCCTGAATTAGTGCCTTGAAAGTATTACTAATCTTTATAAGTTAATGTCCACATTTTACGTGTGTGATATCCGTGGTTCCTTTTGTATCACTCACTATGCTGACATTAAATTCTGGCACCTTTCCATTTATCATACTACTCCCATGTCCGCTGCACATTTACATGAATATTATTGGTATAATAAATATAACTGAACTGTAATTGAAGGTGAACAGAACTGTTCATGGCATTAGCTATGCTTAAGCAAATACGCATTTACATTTGTTCACTGATCTTCCAGTTAGTGAAGTACTTAATTTACATTAAGGCAAGCACATATTTCTGTGAGCAACAAAATTCTGAAGTACTTCAGAGAAGCACATCAGTGATAAATGAGTAGAGGCACGTATCTTCTGTCATTCAAAATAAAATAGAGCTCATGAAGAAATCTCGAGAAAAGTAGTTGTTCCTCTTTTTATGCCCCATACCAAGGTAACTTACATAATTCTAGATTTTTTTCATTTTTATACCAGTGCAGATATTAGTGCTTTATTAAGCAGATGATTAAGTTTTGGATGAGAAAATCAGACTAGAACAGACAGGCCAAAATACCCCCTTTGACCCTAATTAGTGTCTCTGCTCCCAAATTTAACAGAGGCATAATGAATTCATAAAGTTTACATCCAGAAGAGACATTGAGTTCTTCTACTTTCTCATCCTCTATGTTACAGATCATCAAATATCAGCTATTTATCACTATAACGAGCCCAATAACTTTGTTCCAAAAAGTAACTTGTGGAAAGGTATCAAGTTTTAATCTGGAGACACTAAGAGATGGAGAATTTATCATGTTTGTTGCAAAGGTTAATTGTTCACATTGTTAAAATTTAAGCCTCCTATTAGAATTTGTGTGGCTTCAGATTCCATTCAGCAGCTGTTGGAATGTCTTCGCTGATTTAGAGTAATAGCTGGTCATAGTTTCAAGATATGCTGCCTGACACAAGCAATTCAACTGCTTGAAGTTCTATCATTTCCACTGGGAAGCGCACAAATGTTTCTGGGCACTCTGGCTCAACAGCAGCCAGTATTCTTTTGACTAGAGTAAGGCAAAGAGTTTGGCAGAGAAAAGCAGCACTGATTCCTGGAAAAGGCAGGGATAGCTTGAGGATGCATTTTTGCTAGTTCCAACAGCAATTCTCCAGGAAAATGTTTCCCTTGTGTGTCAAGGTACTCAGTGGTTGGTCAGTACCTTGGTATATTCAGCTTGGTATATTCAGCAATCAGATATTGCTTCCAGCTGAATCCTTGTTATTCAGTGCTTCCTGTTGATTAATTTTTCCTGACTGTGTCATCTAAGCTTGTATGACATCAGGCTATATTCTCATTTCCAAATCAATAACTGGTTTAAGGTTTATAAGGGTATTAACATCCATCCACAGAACTGAAAGTTTAAGAATGGAAAGCTATGTTTTGTTCTCTTGCAGGCACCTGTTGAAGAAACTTCATGTTATATAGCATAATGAAAATAGACAGAAACCCCAAATAAGGAACCACTGCTTTCAGTACCAGCTGATTCTGTTCTCTTAGATGTTTAAACTAAAAAAAATGCACAGTACCATTTTAAAATAAGATGTGATGACTGAGTGGACTGACATAAAAAAGTGGAGAAGATAGGAACTTCATTTGAAGATAAGCAAAGTCTAAAAGGGAAATTCAATATTAAATTGATGAGTAACAGAAAGTTCTTGCATTAGCAAGTCTACAGTAGCATTAGCCGTATGATAAGCATTTTCTTTCCTGTCTCCCTTACTGATATTGTGGACAGCATTGGATATGGAATATGGTAGAATTAATGTTTATTCAGAAGTCAAATCTCCCAACTCTCCTCTTCTTACTACAAAACCACATTAGTCTCAATTACTGGAAATCCTCAGACCAGTACAAAGTTAATGATATGTATGTCTGCATGGGTGCAAAGAACAGCTACAGCAAGCTCATTGCAGGATTGGCAGCTCATTTGAAAAAACAGTCATCTTCAATGTTTATCTCAAGAACTATCAATCTTGAGATTCTATGCAAGTTTTAAAATTTTGACCATGTCATCTGACAGCTCGTAACAAATAACCCAAAGCTACTGCAGAAGACAAACAGGTAAAAAGTGATAGAACTTTCCTGCCTCTACCAGGTTGCCAGTCACCCCTTCTGGTAGTCTAATCCAAAGACAAATTGTCCCCAAGTAAAATGATGCTTCAGAATAGCCCAAAGAAAACACAGTAGATCTAAAATGGCCTTTGCTGTCCTTAAAGAGGCTCTGGCACATAAGAGGCTTTGATTCCAACTCTGATTTTGGTCCAGACCAAGTTCAGCCATTAAGAAAAAAAAAAATCAGTCTCTGAAGCTGCCTTCTTTTGATGAACTAAGCTACCTATCCTTTGCTATTTCATCCTTTTAAACATTCCCTTAAGCCTCACTGTGTTTGCAGGTGAATCAGGATAGAGCTCCTTGAGTTCAGAGTGGTTGAACTCCTCTCTGACCAGTATGGGGACGGGCAAGTCAATTCTTCTTTAATTTTAGCTATGTAAAAATCAAAGCTCTCCTATGAAACAGCAGTGAAGGGGTGCTATCAAGTCGACATTTACATGAACTCACTCTCTTTTCTACTGGTTTT